CCAAGGTCAACAGGAAGCGGCTCACGGCTTCGTGCGATAGGGTATCAAAGGCTTGGGCTATATCTAGTTTGACTGCATAGAGCGGCAATTGCCACTGTTGTGATTGCCTGACAGCGTGCTGTAGGGCAAGGGAGCCATCAAGGCTCTGGGCCCCCGGTGCGCCTGAAAGCTGGCAGGACTTCATGGGAGGGAAAAGGAGGCGGAGACGACAAAGGAGAAGTTTAGTGAAGAGTTTGCCTGGAGTGGAGGAGAGAACGATAGGGCGCAGATCCTTAGGCTTGCAGGGAGTTTTGGTTTTAGGCAAAAAAACAACTTGTGACCTGAGCCAGGACTCCGGAATGGGCCTGGAACCTTGCAGAACTGAATTAAAGAAGTGACGAAAACTTGCTTCGAGGGGAGACTGGAGGATGGAGAACATGAGTTCATACGGTACCCTGTCGGCTCCACTGCTCTTACCAGCCTTAGTTGTTCCAAGGACGTCCTGGAGTTCCTTAGTGGAGAAGGGCACGGCGTTAGGAAGCTCACCAACGGCCTCCCGGTACATCATAAGGGGGAGGTCCCGGGGACGGAGGTCTGCAGGTGTGTACTTAGACTTGTAGAAAAGTTTGAGGTCCTGGGAAGCTTTAAGCTCGCCACCTGCGCGCATCATGTAGCCTCCCTGGGCGGCCTTAGTACTCTGCCTTCGTTTGAAGAATGACACCGCGTGGTAGTCTCCTTTTGATCCCCTTTCAAGAAGAGTCGAGAACCAGGACTTCTTGGCGATAGATCTGGCAGTAGCAATATTGTGCGCTAGCCTCCGGGCCTCAGCCCCTGTGGCCCGTCTACGGGCTGCAATGAGGGATTTGATCTCAGGCCCATCCCTGTATCGGAGGGAGCTCGGGCGAAAACATACCCTAGCAGCTAGGCTTTCGAGGCTATGCTCATCGAGGTCTAGGTGGTGCAACTCGAGTTGCTCCTGGAGGGCTTCGCAGAATTCAGGGGCGGATTGCAGGTTAACACGCCACTTGCCACATTTAGTGGAGTGCTTGGTGTACCTAGAGAAGCGAGAGGACGATTTAGTGTGCGATAACCTGAGTCCAGCCGTGCAACATCGATGGTCGGTCCTCAGCAGATCGTCTGATCCCTCGAGAACCTCTGAAACAACGAGGGTCTGCAGGCCTTGGGAGAACAGCACGTAGTCAATACGGGAGTGTGCCCCTCGTGTGTTGGACCAGGTGTGCTTATCAGGGTATGTTCGGAGCAAGCCGAACTGATGCATGAACCCCTCTAGCATTACACGTCGATCATCGTTTTCAGAGGCTGCAAGTGAGTTCAAGTCAAGATTAAGATCCGCCAAAATGGTGATCATGTCATGCATGCGAACCCCATCCAAAAGGTCCCGGAGTTGGCCCAGCTGCTCTTGCCAGATTTGAGAGCAGTCAGTCCTTTGTCGGTGGGGCAAATGCAAACTAATTACAAATTCCTTGCAGCCGGATTTTTTAATTACAACAGCCAGGCCCGTCAAAAGAGGCTTGACTTGAATTACATGCCGCAACGAGTCGAGAGGAATGCCGACTACAGTGCCATGAAAACTCTGGGGGGGGAAAGTGGAGAAAACAGCATAGGAAGAGGAGCCTAAGCGAGCTTCGTCCTGTTCCCAGCCTGAGTGAGCGAGTTCTTTCAAGCCACCCACTTCCTGAAATGCAAAGAAATCAATTCCCTCACCACCCAGCAAATCCCGACAACCTGAAACATCCTCGAGTGTTTTCCCTCGAAGATTCCAGGTACGCATGTACGTGACATGTGCATGGCAGGGCGCGCGCCCCTATGGGCGCTTGGTGATGCGGTTGTCCCAGCGTTCCGGGAGGCTGGCTGACGTCAGTCCTGTGGCCTTGGCAAAGGCCGCACCTTTGATGTACCAACCTGAGTGGTTTCCTCTCGCGTCTGAGAGGGGGAAATCATCATCCTGGAGAGGTTCGGGTGTGTCTGGGGAGCCCAAAACATTAATATTGCCAACAAACAGCTTGCCCCGCCAGTCAATCTCAGCCAGGCGCTTCGTGAACCCCTGTGCAAAAGTCTGTTGGTCGATGAATTCTTTGACGGAAACGATAGCGCGGATTTTGGCACGATCTTCTGGGGTCCTGTGGCGTTGCACCCACAACTCTCTGCACTCTTGGCCTGGGATGTTGCTCAGGAACTTCTTAGACTTCAACTTGTCCAGTACTTGTGTCTGGAAGGCCCGTTGTTGGGGGACAGTCGTGCAATTGTCCGGGAACTGCAAAGAAACGCGAACGTGCGATGTGCGAGAGTAGGGGCTCCAAATGTCGAGCCAGGCTTTATCGAGTTTCATGGCCTCGAAAACAGCTTTGGCCTCTTCCACGGCTTCATCCCTTCTGGCATCCTCCCAACCTCCGATCGCCAACTGTAGTTCCTCCTCGATGTTCCTTTCACTGCGGGGACTGTTGCCACGAGGGGAGGGGGGAGCTCTCTGGGGTGTGGGTGATCTCGAGGCTGCGCGCAAGTCTCTCACTTCTCTTTCGAGGGCGGAGAGACGAAGATGATGAGCCTGTCCCCGTTCGGTGTGTTCTCTGAGAACTGCGTCGTGAGTGTCCAATCGCACTTTGTGAGTTTGTAGCTCAGAAGTGAAATGTACCATTTCGCGGTGCATGTCGAGGTGCCTCACGTTCATATCTGAGACGTCTTGCTTGATGGGTTCAAGTTGTGTGAGAAGCCTACCTTCCAATGCTGCTACCC